CCAGCCCCTCGGAGCTACTCAATTTCCCTCCTATATTACACCCACTTCAACCCCTCGACTCGGCTCACTCAATAAGTTTTTATTGGCGTGTAAAACTACCCTTGGAACAGCTGCTTTTCTATTTGAATTACTAATATTCATTTGCAGCTTGGACCGCATTAATGAAACTATATTTCACCCCTCGGTCCGAAGGGGAAAGGTCCATACCATTGGTAAATTCTCGTTTGTTATTTTATAGTTCTTAACAATAGATATAGTTCATTCGCAGATACTGGTGGAAAATTAAATTTGGCTTGTTTACTAAATTATTAGTATATTTTGTCTGGGCGGAAGTTTAATCTATCCCCCGTCAGTCTAAATTCGCCTTTTCCAGGCAAACGGACTATTTATTCTATCTCTTAATAAAAACAATAAATATATGAGTAAATAAACCTCATAATTCGTCAATCACATTTTCTAAATCATGTCTAAAACAATGGTCATGGCCACCCATGACCGATGGGGGATTCACGGCGTTCAATCGTGGCAAGATTTGAAAATAGACGATTTCCATCGATTTGCCAATTTAATTGGTCCGCCTAAGTTCTGAAAAGTTATAATCATCTCAAAATTATAAATAGATATTTTACAAGAAAAAGCGGTTTGTTGTTGACATAGCGAGGACAGGCGGACCCAAAGTAAATAAGGGATTACATTGTCCAAATCTTCTTTTTATATTAATCGAAGGGGGTTTCCATTGATTTGCAAGTTTAATTGGACGGCCTAAGTTCTGGAAAACTTACATATCTGAAAATTTTATAAGCATTTTACAAGAAAAAGCTGTTTATTGTTGACAAAGCGAGAACCCGAAGTAAATAAGGGATTAGATTTCCAAATCTTCTTTTTATACTTAACTTCGCCCTTTTTTCTATTTTTTCTATTTGAACAGGTTTTCGTATGAGATTTTTATATTGTGCCTGGACAAATGTTGGCCCATCTCTGGTCCGCTTTTCGTCGCTTTTTCCAGGCACAAACGGACTGTTTATACGAAATTTTATTTATTCCTTAATAAAAATAATAAATGTATGAGTACATAAACCTCATCAATCGTCAATCGCATTTTCTAAATCACGTCCAAAACAATGGCCATGGCCACCCATGATCGAAGGGGGTTTCCATTGATTTGCAAGTTTAATTGGACGGCCTAAGTTCGGGAAAACTTACATATCTGAAAATTGTATATACATTTTACAAGAAAAAGCTGTTTATTGTTGACAAAGCGAGGACAGGCGGACCCGAAGTAAATAGGGGATTAGATTTCCAAATATTCTTTTTATACTTAACTTGGTTCTTTTTTTATTTGAACAGGTTTTCCGGCGACCAGTTATAAGATTTTTAATATTGTACCTGGACAACAGGTTGACCATCTCTGGTCCGCTTATCTTCGCTTTTTCCAGGCACAAATAGGTTATCAAATATTATTCCTGACAAGAAAACAAAAATTTCTGGCCTCTTAATAATCATCCCTGCAAGTAAAAATCATGAACTGGAGCTACCCATGATAGAACGGGAAGGGATTGTTTTAGTTTCAACTTTAATCAATCTCTTATCCACTTAATTTTGCTTATTCCTGACAGACAAAGGTTACATATTTCAAAATTATATTTTATACAAGAAAAATATGTTTATTGTTGAGTAGCTTGGCTCTTTTTTTTTTTTAACAGTTTTCTTGGAACAGGTATAGTTTTCAATATTTTATCTGGTCGGCATTTTGAATATTTTCTGGTCCGCCTATCTTCGCTGTTTCCAGGCACAAATGGGTCACATATAGGAAATTTTCTTCCTGGCATAAGAAGGACAAAAAAACGAAATATTTCTGGTCTACTAGTCTTCACTGCACTCCAAACATGATGGAGCATAAAAGAATTCGCGGTGTTCAATTCTGGCAAGATGAGAAATATAGTGATGATCTTTTGATTTGCAAATTTCATTAATATCTGGTCCGCCTAGATTCGCTTGTTTCATGCGGAAAAATATTCAATATCTCGAAATTTTATTTGTGACAAGAAAAATATCTTTATTGTTGACTAAAAGCAGCGAGGACAGGCGGACCCAAAGTAAATTCATTATCCAGGTATTCACTATCCAAAACATCTTTTTATGTTTATTTGGTTCTTTTATTACGGCGTTTTACTGCGAACAATTATAGTAATTTTCAATACTGTATCGGAACGGCAGTTTGATCCATTACTGGTCTGCACATCTTCGCTATTTCCAGGCACAAACGGGCTGTGTATCTGAAATTTTATTCCTGACGGAACAATCTTGGCGTTTCGTTAATAAACAATAAATACATGAATAGATAAAAATAAATAAATACATAAATAAACCCTCATTAATCGCACTATCCATAACAATGATCATAGCCATCCATGATAGAACATGAAGGGATTTACGGCGTTTTTCATGGATCGGTTTCGAAATGACAGATTTTTTGAAGTTTCAATGTTTGCTGAACGTTTTACCATATTTTTTTAAAATCTGAAACATGATAGCTTTCAGTTTCTGAAAATCTTTTCTTGGCAAAAGGATTTTCAACTAGGTTGTCAATTTCTTCTTGGATAATGGCCAGGATTTTTTAATTAAAACCATTTGGACAATTATGTTCATCCATGTCAGAATTTGAAGGGATTCGCGGCGTTTTTTCATGTATCGGTTTCGAAATGACAGGTTTCTTGAAGTTTCCTGAACGAACTACTCATGTTTTACCATTTTTTTTTTTTTTAATCTGAAACTTGATAGCTTTTAGTTTCCGAAAATCTTTTCTTGGCAAAAGGATTTTCAACTAGCTTGTCAATTTCGAACGTTTTGTTAATTTCACGCATATTGAAAGTACAAAAGCGATTCCTTTACTTTGAGATTTTAGTAAATTTAATAAATTTGTAAATAATTTACGAAAAATACGATTTGTGAAATTCAACCTAATTAAAATATTACTAGTACACCTCTTTACGAAATTTCTTTACTCATTTAATTTTCTCTATTACTACAACTTTTTTCTCCTCCATCGTTGTTGCTGACGTGTTAAAACCTAATTTTAACAAAAGTTAAACTGATTAAAAAATTTGAATTTGAAATAAACGCTAAATAGTAGGACGGTAGTGTAACATGAAATCCTTTACAATGGAAATTTTGGATTTTGCTTTGTAGATACTTAAGAATTGACCAAATTTGAAAGTTTAGGATCTAATGATGGCAGAATTAAATTGTCTACGACTTTCATTCCAAGGATATTTTTGTTTGGATGAGCCGTTTCGGAGGCCTTTACATGTGAAAAATCAACCAGTGAGTTCTTTCTTTGAGAAGTTAGTAAAAATGTCCATTTTCGACTGTCCATTATGCGTATATTAATGGCTCGAATTTATATTTGAGATATTCATACGACGCGAAATTTAATACACTTTCGTTTTGATAAGAAATTTTTCGATACGATACGCTGTTTACGAGCTGTAGGCGAAAAACTGGAAAAAAAAACGAAAATTTCTTGGTTTTCTGACTACCAAAAATTTCCCACACCAAAACTCAACACGTGTTTAGAGAACGATTTCCAGCTTTCCCCCATTGCGTCCAGAAAAATCTTTATTTTACTGGCCTAAAAATATATTTTAAATCTGGTATTCCTGAAGACGAGTTTTCATGCCTTTCATGCAACCTGTCGACCACTCTGGGAATCAATTTCAAGCAGCAAGAGTGAGTGAATTATTTATTTCCTTAAATAAAGGATATAAAATAAGTAATAAATACAATTTAAAAAGTTACTATAAAAATTGAATTTAACAGGTGAATCGTGTTGCTGACAATATATTTTCTGATATAAAACAGCATTATCTTACTGGCACTCTCAAGAATGACACAATTACGCAGAAAACAAACACTTTGAGCCCTGAAGATGATCTCAATAAAGATCTTAATGTTGGCACAATAAAGAAAATGTTTTTCTAAAACCTACATCACACCAGACCGCATTTCACGATCTCTGAATAATCATTGTATTTTCTCTTGACAAAAACAGCATTGCTTGGGCTTTCTTGATTTAGAACAGGCCTTCGATTGAATCTTGTATTCAGGCTTGCTTTGGAAGCTAAAGAAAATTCTCCCTTGTGCGTATTATGTCAGGGAATTGAATTTTCATCTTATTATGTGTATTATGTACACATTAGGACTAGCGTTCCTCAGGGAAGCATACTTGGCCCATTTCTTTTTTCGATATACACAGGAGGGGCGTCGATGGCCTCAAAAATTTAGGCATTGACCCAGCGCTCATTACTGTAAGGTAAAAGTCCTGGGTTTGAATCCAGCAGCCCTGGACTCAAACCCGACACACTTACAAATGAACTTCTTCTTTTTAAATACACTGGCACCTCAATGGCTCACATAGCCTCATAGTTGAAAAACCATTTTAAAATGAAATAAATAAACAAATTCACAACTATTTTTATCGTTAATTTTTAAAATTTATTTAGAAATTATTATTATTAAAAATTAGTATTAAATTTTTACTTATTTTTATTATTATTATTTATTAATAATATTACTAGACTAAAATGGTTTTGGTAATTTATAAATTAATAATTAATCAATTATTATTTATTTACCAACATAATATATAAAGGTTATAGCTTATTTCTCATCACTGAAAGGTAAATGTTCTGGGTTCGAATCCAGTGGCCATGTATTCCAACCCGCCATATAAACATCAGCAACACCAGCACCCCGAGGGTTCATATACCTCATAGTTGAAATACCCTCATAAAAAAAAAAATATATATATTAACATGTTTGATGTGTGACAGAATGTTTTGAAATATATATTTTTACCTTTTTCCTCCAATTTGTTAATTAGGAGTACCCAAGGGAAGCATAGTAAGTAAAAGTTTTTAAAGTAAAATGTTTCACATTTTCCTTTTTTTCCTGTACTCTTTCTTTCTAGGTTAAGAAAATCAATAAATTAAAAACAAAAATGGTGGTGTTTGAAAAAAGCATTTATTTCGTAATGCCTGTTAAAATTGTACAATAACTAATACTTGTGTGGAATTGTCAATGAACAATATTAAATACAAATAAACAAAAGTGAAGACGGCTTTTAATTATGAAATTTATTTAACAAAAAAAGAAAAGAAAAGGCTTTATACAACTTATATTATTCTCAAATTGAGAATTAAAAAAAAAAAATTTATTTTAAATTCATTCTCCGCTTATGCCTAACAATATCACAATGTATAAAGATGCATAGGCAAATGTTTTAAATTTTTACATTATTTTTAAAATAGTTGTTTGATGGAAATAAGCTCATTCAGCTTGCCTGAGGCGAGCGAGGCGCTGCGAGAGCTCGTCCTGTTCTTGTGACGCCTGAGTCGAAGCGCCGATTGTTCGTCCAGGCTGGGGCAATTCCATATTTAACTCAAGTCTAAAAAAAAATGTCAATGTGCCGTTTTATATTAAAATTGTTCAGATAATACAAGACTGAAATTTGGAAAAATACTGACCCAGCTTCGTCTGCGACTTGTTGTAGCAAATTGTCGACATCGTTCTGAGGAACCGATGTTGTAACAGTCTGCGACATTGTGTTCTCCATGTATGAACTCTGGACGTCGAGGTCTTCGAATTGGTTTTCGAATTTGTCCATGAGCGATGAAATCTTTTCGAGGTTCATGCTCTTCATGGCGGCATCCATCGCCTTGACGACACCGGCCATCGACTGGGTCACCTTTAAATTTTAAAACATTCAATTAGTTAATATTAATTTTCAAAATAGTGGAATAATCTGCTTTCAATGCTGTTGTCAAATTCTAGATCTTCCTGATGATAAATTAAAATAAAGAATTTCTCCTGAGAATAAGTAATAACCAATTGTGATTTTGATGAACCAAATCAAATACGTTCATGACATGGCCGATTCTAAGTCAGGTGTGATCATCATCCCTAACTTAGAAAACTTGATAGTGACTACCATGAATTACATGAGACCATCACTTATACACAAAACTAGCAAGGAACTGAATGATCAAAGATAATTGAGTTTCAATTCAAGTAAAAGTTGTGATGATACAAATTGTCTAAACAGTTACTTTATCATTGTCTTCATCAACCAGGCAACTTCTGAAGATGGTGTCTGGTAAGATAAAACAAGCGTGAAACAGGATGATCAAAGATGATTGAGTTTTACTTCCAGAAAAACTGTAGTGATGCAAATTTTTGGCAAGTTATTTCATCACCTTTATTAACCAACTCACGTCTGAAAGACAATATCAGTAAGAATCGGCACGATCAGTTACAATCAAGTTACAATTCCGGTAAAAGTTGTGCTGCTGAAAACTTAGTAAAGTTAATTTATCACTATCTTAATTGACCAACCAGCGACTGAAAATAAAATATGACATACAAAACCAGATTATCTTCCCTGTTATGATGATAATATTTTTATAATTGGTTACTTCATAATGATCATTGATCAGCCTATCACTAAAGATGGTGTCTGATATTATAAAACAAGCTAGAAACAGAATGATCTAATGAGCTTTACTTCCAGTCAAAGTTGTGTTGATGTAAACTTTTTAAATAGTTGTTTCATCATGTCATTATACAAATCCAGGAAATTCAGATGACGATCAAAATAGAATTCTAGCAAATATTTTGATGATGGCTAAGTTTTAAAACAGTTTTCTTCGTCATAATTATTACCAAACAAAGATGGTGTTTTTGGCAGATAAATCCAATACAAATGAAGATGGTCAAAAATTGTCTAATCATATTATAATAAATTTTAATATAATAAAATTTTTGTTAAAGAAACTTTTTTAAATAGTCGCTTCATATTGGCATTAGACAAATCCAGGAACATCAGATGATTGGCTATGATCAAGCTACTATTCCAGCAAATGCTTTAATAAAACCTACTCTTAAAAAGTTTTCTCCATCATGATTATCATCAAACAAAGATGGGGCCTGTCAGACAAATTCCCAATGAGAATCAGGATGATAAAATTACAAACCTATACTTATGATCATTTCATCATGGGACAATACACAAATCCAGGAGAATAAGATGTTTAGTAATGATCAAACTACAATTCCAGCAAAAGTTTTGATGATGCATACTTTTGGAGTGTTTCTTCATAATGATCATCACCCAACAAAGATGGTGTCTCACACATAAATCCAACCAGAATCAGGATGATAAGGGAATACAAATCTATACTTATAATCATTTCATCGTGGAACAATACACAAACCAGTAGAATAAGATTATTGGCAATGATCAAACTACAATTCAAGCAAAAGTTTCAATGATATTTATGAAGTGTTTCTTCATAATGAACATCACAAGGCAATCAGGAGGAGGTTTCACAATTTACTGTGAGACATGTCAGGCCGTATCATCATTCATCGCTGTCATGTAAACTTATAGTTTTAATGTTTGTTTACATAAGAAAAATGTTAAAATGAAGAGAACATAGTATAAAACGTGTAGAACCTTTCTCGTCGTGAGGGCCGTCTGGACTCTGCTGGCGACAGCATCCACCCTCGCGCTCATCCTGAGGTAGTTGACAGACTGATTCTTCTGCCTGATGGCGTTTTCTGCGTGGATCCTGGCCACTTCCAGGTTGCCTTTTTGTATAGCTTTTTTCGCCTTGAGCTTTTCGGTCTTTTCCTCTTTCTCGCACCTCTTTGAATTCCTCTCGAGCTCCTTGACAGCGAACTTGAGGTTGAACAAGTGGTCTGGGTTGTAAATGGGATAAGGAAACTTTTTTCCAACGTTCTAATGAATCTGTACAAGCTTATTGTTTCATGTAAAAGGATACTTTCCATTGCGGAGCTCATATTCTGTAAAAGTTAATAAATTATCGTTAAAAAAAAAATAAAGAATATACACTGGTCTTTCTTTGATGTCGATTAACCGATTAGTCACCTCCTAGAAGTGTTCAGAATGATAAGCGTCAAGGCAGTGGATAACCGTGATAGTTTATAAATAGATTTTTAACCAATTTATATTCATCATCAGTCAGATTATAAATTAAACTCCAATTAATTTTAAATTTTGATATTTTAAAAATTCCTGGAGTTTCGATTCTTTTGATTTTTAAGGAACAAATTTCTCATATTGACTGATGAGGCATAGGTTGATTTTTGGCGGTTTGTTTGTTTACAACCGAGGTTTCAATTTCGTATTGCTAGTTGTGACCCTCTGGAATCTGGATCGACATTTTGGTCAATTTTGACTTTTTAATAATTTCGATTACAATTTTTAAATATGAAATGGACGAAACTGACGCGATGACATCTCCCCAGAAGTCGACGACACCGGTCCGGGCACTGCCCCGGACGCCTCCTCAGTGGAAAAAGCCGGACGACGTTATGAAACTCCACAGGCTCAAATTGAGGAAAAACGCCCTCGCAGCACGTCTGAACAGCGACCAGCCTCATTCCAAGCCCTCGGCGAACGTCTCACCCCAGAATAAAACAAAACGGAAAAATCCTTTTAAGTATGTAAAACATAAATACCATTTTCTATGTGTAGCCTATGAAATATTCAGGTCTAATATCACTTACTTTTACTAACATTACGTAAAATTTTATTCGTCAAACTTTCATTATTTGCAATGGTCCTATTTCTTCCAGGTACTTCTGCATAGCAGATCTATAGTCTGGTTGTAGAGCCCTGCTCTGCTTCATTGCCGAATATGCAACATCTTATGTTCATGGATGTCATTTTTTCCAGATCTTGTGTCTGCATCTTCTTTTTTGTTTTCTTTCGTTCTTTCTCTCAAATCTTACGAAAATAATCTTTTTTCCCTGCGAGATTTTTGTAATGCTTGACACCATTAATCTATAAAAATGTCTATGATATTCGATATCGCAGGTGATTTAAAGATTTAATTTGAAATGAACAATCTAATTGGTTTGATAAAAATAACTTGTACCTGAACATTAACAAATTTTATAAAAATCTTAATCCAATTATATTTACTGATAATATTTACGATATAAATTTAAATGAGCAAAAATCAATAAAAGATTTAGGAGTCATCTTTGACACAACTTTATCTTTTACTGATCATATAAATGCAATTGTAAATAAAATCGTAAAACTGCTAGGATTCTTAAAAAGAAACTCCAAGGATTTCAACAATTAAATTGTATAAAAACTCTATACGTTTCAATTATTCGCTATATTCTTGAGTTCAACTCTCCAGTTTGGTCTCCAAGTTATCTCAAATACATCAAAAAACTTGAAAAAGTTCAAAGTAGGTTTTTAAGATTCTTAGCCTATAAATTACACTTAAACTTAGACTATATAAATTATGATGAACTAAGAGCTGTGATGGAAATTAATCTCCTTAAAATAAGAAGAGATATTTATGATATTATATTTTTATAAAAATTGTTAAATTTTATTATAGAAAGCCCTGAGCTTCTGCAACAATTTTATTTAAATGTTCCTTTGAAATTAACTAGACATAAAAATCTATTTTCTATCTCTTTCTGTAAAACTATTTATTAACAGGACCTATTATCAGAGCATGTAGGAAGATGAATTCAGTAGAGAGTAGAGGTTGATCTATTCTGTAATAGTTTTACAGAATTTGGCATTTTCCTGGCTGCAAAAACCACATTTAAAATCATTTTTATTTTTCTTCTTTTAATACACTAACATTTGTTGACAAAAACTCTAATACCAAGTCAATTAATTAAGGTTTTTAGTTGAGATAAAGAAGTCAGTGTCACGAGCGGGATTCAAACTCACGACCTTCGGCTAGATACGCCGCTGCTCTTCCACTTGAGCTACCGTGACCTCGATCCACTCAGACACTAACTTCCCATCTCAACCCCACATTTTGAATTTTCCCTCCTTTTTGCCATTTTTCAAATGTCTCAAAATTTTGTCACAACTAAAAACCTTAATTAATTGAAAGATATTAATTGGTCAAGCAGACCACGAAAACTAGTGAACCTAATACCAAGGTTGAAACAGGGTTTAATTATTTTTCGATGGCTTGATCATCCTCCCTTAGACCATCTGTTCTCTCTTGGCCAGACATCATCTTGTACCAGCCACTGACAAAATTACCTAGGCAACACTATTAGAAAAATGTTATTGGGTTGTCAGGAAAATAATTCAGGTTTTCTTTCAATTACCCCTCTGTATAATAAACTGTTTATGTTTGATGGTTTATTCTTTTGTACGAATGTCAACATTTTTTATTCCTCTTCCAGACAAAAATGTTTGTTTACCTCAGTAGAAATTCGTTGCTTGGGAATATTTCAGTCTTTACTGAGATGTCAATGCGTGATTTTTGCATCATTTTGTTTTACGAGTTTAAACTCAGTTTTGGTGCCCAAATGGCCAGAAAAGTAATGAAGTCTGAGGCAGTGTGAGTGAGAGCACCGTTACGGGATGGTTTAGAAAATTAAGGAGACTAGCCTTAAAGAAAAAGGTCGAGGAAGGATTTCTTCTGTAAATGATGACATTCTGAGCTTTGGTCTAAGAAAATCTCAGATCTGTTTGAGAACTTGCTGAGAATCTTTCAGTTAGCAAATTAACCGTTCGGTGACCACCATAAGGCAATTGGAAAGGTGAAAAAGCTTGAAAGTTGGGTTCCTCATGCATTAAACGGCCGTCAAAAAAATCATCATTATAAAGTTTGCACAACACATCTTTGCCAAAGCAGAAACAAACTTTTTCTTCATAGAATTGTTATTTCTGATGAAAAGTTGATTCTCATGACAGTAAACATTTTGGACAGTAGCTCAACTTTATTTTCCAAAGGCACCAACTCAACAAAATTTTGAGAAAATAAGTTTGGTTATAAAATGAAAAAACAAAATATTTACACATGGGCAATTATATTGTCCCTGTTGGGGTATATGAAATAGAATTCAAATTAAAAACCTAGAAAATATTGTTTTCGACAAAACATTGGAGTTAGGTACGAGCTATTTTTTCTAGCGAACCTGCCACAAATCAAGAGGATTTTTGTTACCAACTAATAAATGTTTTTATGAAAAATATGTTTGGCATTTATGATGTTCTTGGGTTGCTGCTCGAATTGCGCTTAATATCACGTTTTTCAACTTTGCAAGGAGATTTTACTAAGAAAAATTCTAACAAATGTAAAAATGAGTAAGTCCTTGGAATACTTACAAAATAAGGCAACTTTGGTGAAATACCCAAAAATTTTAATGGAAAAGTCGTTGCACGAGCCACAATTGACTATTCAAAAAACATGAGTTTTGCCATTTGCTATTCTTTCAGCAGCTACTGTGTATTTGGAAGCATCGGAAATTTTATCTTGTGGAAAATTTAATTTAGTTTGCAAAATAAAAGTCAGATTTGTATTTTAATGATGCCATAATTGAGAAATTACTATTTTATGCAAAAATCTGAGTTTAGACTACAATCACAAAAATGTTAATATCTCAGGAAAGAATCAACATAGAAACCTTGTTCTGCTGGCACTGAACTACATTTTATTTAGTGAATCCACCAGGGCAGTATTGACATTTAAGCCTGTAACATCCCATGCATAGTTCAGATGTGTAAATAAAAAAATAATAAAAAGTTGCATATTTTCATGAATATTTATTATTTGTTTCAATCAGGAGAGTTGACGTAACGAGCACATCCCCGGTTTCAAAGAAAACCAAAAACTCAGCACCTCAAGATAAAAATGACGAATCACTGTTTCAGCTGTTGGGTCTCAATGCTACAGAATCAGTCGCCAGGGATTTAAGTTGCCTTAAATTTGAACCCAGCGAAGATACATTAGTAATTCGACTGTTTTTTAGGGTTATTTATGGATTTATTTATAAATTTGTGGTTTTCAGAAAACTGATAATAAAGTGACGGTTAATGAACTGCCGATTGATTGGTCTTTAAGGTATAAATTGAGATTTATCTCAGTCCGGCAATTCCCTTGGACAGAAACGCTGAAAACTTGCGAAGAAGCTTCAGGCATTACTGGGTGTGTTGAATTGACGTTTTAAACACATCCAGGAATTTATTTGTATCCATTTTATTAGATTTGTGAGATGCGTCGAAAGCGGAGGCGGCGGCTGCCTTGGGCTTGATACGAGCCCGAATGCCAATTTTCACCAGTGCTGCTTATACTGGCAGCACCCAAATCTTACCTGGGTCGACTTGTTCCCAAGGACGCGGGCGAGGAAATCCGACTACGGGAAGACACCAGCTTTGTCATCTTATCCGGAGGTGAAGGAAAGCCTTCATCGAGACTGGTCAGAGAGTTTCAGGTCACTTTTTCAATTATTGAGGGCCAGGCATTGCCCTTATTTCTACATGGTTTCGAATACCGTAAACTGTGTTTTTCGAGCTGCCGGGATCAACGGGTGTACTGAAACCAACGTCATGATATCACCGACTACAAGGGGATTCAGAAAACTTTTAACAGATGATGGTATAAAATTCTAGCTTTATTTATTTACATAAATTATTAACTTGAAAATGGAATAGGTGTGCAGTTTACCATGCCTTTGAAAAGAAAAACAAAAAGAGTTTCAGAAGAATTTGGAGAAGAAGAAGAAGATGAAAATGAAAAACCGAACGAGACAAGTCAGTGGCTTGCAAGTCTGGGCGTCGCTGAAGAAGAAATTAGAAAAATTAATAAGTCCGAGGTAAATTTGATAATTAAAAAGATTTAATTTTTATATTAACATTTATTTTGTTTGCAGGAAATGCATTATTTAAAAGCAGAAAAAAAAGACGACGGAAATGAAGAATCTCTCTTATACATTGAAGGTTTTGAAGTTCAAGGGCTTTTCAACTTCTTAATAAACTGCCGTTCTCTCATCGCCATGACGGGCCCATTGATGGGGATCCCGCCGACCCTCTTATCACCTGTAGCCTTCTGCGGAGGGTCTCTTATGTCACTAAAGGTTAAACAAATATTTGCAACAAACCATACAGTTGTTTAATTAAAATGAGTCCAGGTGCGACAAAGCAACGTGCAAATCAATAAGGAAAACTATCATTCCGTCGAAATTATCGGGCCGATACTGCCGCACGCGATACACAATTTGTGCAACATACTTGAAAACAGCATCGACAGCTTTTCAGTGACGTTTGCTAATTTGGATACTACGAAGGCCTTCACCACTGCCTCCTTACCGATGGGTAACCCAAGTGGAAATAAGTTTGAACTGATTTTGATTCGATATTTTAATTTTTAGATTTTCAAAAATTAGAAGGAAGTCCAAGTAAGGTTGGGAAGTCGGGCCAGGCGTTTAGCGTCGAGAGCCTCAACGATTGCGGCCTCAAACCAAGAATTTTATCTCGGTTCTGCTCCGAGTTCGTCTCCTCGTTCGATAGTCTCAAATTCGCCAATGATTCATACATTTGTTCCTGACTTGTGCAATATTAACTTATTGTTTACTATTTTTTCACGAATATCAACAATAAATGATTATTTGTTTTGTTTAACAATCTTTTATGTTAGAAACCTTTATAGTAGAACTTTCCATAAGTGGACGCTATTTAAGAATAGGATTTTACCCACTTATTAGAATTTATTTTATATATTTACATGGTTGTTCTTTCATTACTAAAAAAAGAAAAAAAAGTATTTCCAATAAATAAGCCAGTAAACATAACAATAACATTTTATTCAAAGGAACACAAGTATAAAATATTTGTATTTATAATTACACACTTTTTACAAAGGAAGATTTCAACAATGGAACTAATTTACATTACAAGGAACTGCGACATGTAAAAATAATAATCTTTTTTATTATATACAATTTTAATTAATTAATTTTCAGAGAAGTGATTCCCATTCTGGAGTTACTAACAACCTGGTAGCGACCCTTCCTAGGTTCACCATGTTCCCTTCTTTTATATCTTCGTTAAGATTGACGCTTATAAGATCCTGGGTTATTTAAAAATAAATAAAATTACAATTAGTTTTAAAAGTTTTTTTTTTTTTTTTTTAATAAATTGAGTACCTGTCTAAAAGAAGCTTGTGTTGCAGGGTCGACGGAGAGTTTGACGTCTCCTAAAAGCAGCCTAGTCCTCCCTGATTTTCGTATTTGTAAAGTGCCTATCCTGCCGGTTGGAAGCGTTCTCAAAACGTACTTTTCCGACTCCTATTTAAATAATTAATTAATTGAGGATCTTCACTTTAAAAAAAAATGTATGTATAATGTACCTCATCATTTTTCTGTCCAGTCGTTTTATACTGGTTGTCCAATTTAAGCCCTGGTACGCATGTTGGGATCTAAAAAAAGTTAATTATTAAAATATTTACAACAACGGAAAAATAGACAGTTCTTACTTGTAAAAAGACGAAGTTCTTTTCAGAAGATGAAGTCATCAATTGCGATATAGTGAGCGGTTTCAACTGATTTAGGTCAAATGGTTTTTCTTCTATTTCTAAACCGTTTTCCGCAGGTTCAACTCCTGGTTCTTGTTTGACTGTCCAAGAAAAAAATTTTATCAGAAAAATCTCGAGTTAAATTGTAACCATATGCATTACTTTTTACACCGTTCGGTAATGTCTCAATTGGTTTTTCTAATTTCTTAATCACTGGCTCTTCCTCTTTGACTGTTAGTTTACCTGTATAAAATTATTTAAATTTATTATTGTTTCTTTAATTGTATAATCAAAAAAATATTACATTCTTGAAGAGGAAGTTGAATAGGACAGTATTCCAAGTCGGGCTTAAATTCTGGATCATCGATGAAATCATCACACAGGAGTTCCTTCATTACCTTCTCCTCTTCTTCTTTATCGACTTTAACATGTGCCTGAAAATCATTAGAATTGATTTTTTTTTTACATTTAAAACCCGAGCAAACTTTAGTTATAAATTTACATTTAATTTGATCTTTGGTTTTGGCATGAAATTAGAGGCTTCGCTGCTGCTCGTGTTCGACCTCCAACCAGACGACTTTATAGTTGGTGCCAAGCCTTCGGAGAAAATTCCGCTGTTCTGTACAAAGTTTGGGTTGCGTCTTCCTCTGCCTCGTCCTCTTTCGGCCCCCCGTGCGGGCACAGGTCCTGGAACGCTCGGCTTTCCATTTACATTCGTCTTGTCTTCTTGTTTTCCATCCTTCTCCCTGTTTAATTTTAAAAAAATTATATTTTATAAACAGCGATTATACGTGAATGGAGTAAACAAATTATGTATATTTTCAAAATAATAATTCTTGTATATTTCTTTGCCCTTAATAAAATTTTAGCCAGTTTTGTAATCTAATTATTTATTTCTATTAAAATTTCATGTTTAATACTATCATAAATTCACTTCTTTCAGCCAGTTGCTATTTAATTCGCTACAATTTAACTCAGGTTTCAATGTTAAGGAGTGGATGATCGCTCAGAAGAAGTGGTAGTACGAAAGTGCAAGGTCAGGACTAAAAAACGAAACAGTTCCATTTGGAAAAACATTTGTAGAAAAAGAAAAAATTGTAGTTTCTGGAGATTGTCTTTTGAAAACAAACGAGACTTTAAAGCCTGCAGTATGAAAAATTTGAGTTTTTTAAGTACAGTGAAACTTCCCTTAATCCTCTAAAAAGCAGAAACCCCTCTTGAATGAAAAAACTCTATTTCCCCAGTGTCTTCCCATTTGTTTCTTAACATTATAATCATCCCAATTAATTATTATTTTTATCTAAGTTTTTTTGTTGGTTGAGATAAAAAATTATTGAAAAATTTTACATGTAAAAAAAAAGACAAAAAGGGGAAAAATTTGAATGGCTGTAGGTTGAGATGAGGAGTTGGTGTCCGACGGGATTGGAGTCACAATAGCTTAAGCAGTTTGAGCAGCTGTATATTGAGCTGAAGGTCGTGGGTTCGAATCCCGCTTGTTACACTAATTTTTTATCTCAACAAAAAAACCTTAGATAAAAATAATAATATGGTAGATTATGACCACAAAGTAAATATGGATTAATTTATTAAAATCATCTATAAAGGTTACACCCCAATAACAGACACAGTTTTTTGGTTATATTCTGATTCTAAAACTTTACCAAAAGCAGACTACAGAAAATGAATGTTTTGTTCGCTTTCTAATATTTTCCTAATTTAGCTTTTGATTATTTTTGATTGCGAAGTACTTCTTTATTTGACACTTAAAGAAAAAATTAATATAATTAAAGTGAGAAAGTGAAAAACTAAGTGTGTGAGGCCTGGCTATCAAGTTTGCCTGATGGATTCCAGTTCAGGACAAGTGAAATTCTAAGGAATAAAAAGGAACTGTTAAACAAGTAAAAATAAACATGAACTGAAGAAGGAAGGAAACATTTTTCCAAATATTGAAACGGCCAATACCGCAGGTTTTTCCTAAAATATCTAGTTCAGCCATAAGACCAGGACTTAAATGGTTTTGCCATGTTTGGGCTTGTAAAATACCACTGTCTGGTCTGTTTTGGTTTGCTTATCTGAGAAAAGGCTTTTGAAATTGCAAAACATTTAGACATACAGAATTTAAAGCATTAAAAGGTTGGCTCGACAAATTTAGAACACAGCTTAAGATTTCTTTAAAGACCATTAGTCTGGTAATCTTACAAGGGAGTGATCAGGTCGGTGTGAATCCTTTGGACCAAACTTTTTTTGGTGATTCTACACTCCAAAATCATTGGACACATATTTACCACTTCTTGTGAATAAGCCCTGGTCTCGCAAAAAATTTTTTTTGGAATGTTGAAATTTTCCGTTTTTTAATATTTTTATTTCATCATTCTACTCCAAATCATCTATGTGAACATATCATTTTTCAGCATTTTTTATGTAGATTACAATAAAAATATAGTAAAATCTAAGTATTTATCAATAACTAAAAATAATACCAGAAAATTTCTAAAAAAACAAATATTTTCAAGTAAACTAGGTCAGTTTTTTTTTCGTGAAACTAATATGAAATTTTGTAAAATGAAATTATTTATCATCTCTAGAGAATAAATATATAAATTTTTATTTGAATTTAAATTTATCAATTTTTGACCCCTAAATTTTTTTCAATTTTAAGAAGTCATTATCGGACATCTGATTTAACTGGCTAAAAGGATTTTAACGTCAAACATACCATTTGTAAGTATACGAATGTAGCTTTTTAATGATGTACATACCATAAAAATATATAAAAGAGTTCTATAAGAAAATACAAAAATAGGAAAATTATTTCTCAGAAATTAACTTTTTTAAGGGAAATAATAGCCCAATTTTAATGTTTGATACAGTTATAAAATACACTTGACAATTACTTTAAGAAGAAAGTATCAACCATGAAAATCGGTTTATTGGGTTATTAGGAAAACAATAATGTTGGAGCTTGCATTAGGAAGTCAGTCACACAGAAGGAAGTCAAAATTATCAGTCAAAAAATGTATTTATACCGATTTCCCCAAAAGTTCGTACTAAGGGGCAACGATCACGACAATGAGATCAAACCCAAGTTTGGACCATGTGCACTTTGCTTACAGAATCTTTGTTAAAATACCCACACAAAAAAAAGCTGTGCTTTGTTTATTTATCTTTTTAAATCATTCCAAATTAAAACCTTCTGTCTTAGAACTTTTTTTTAAATGTTAACCAACAATGAAATAAATAATACTTTTTTAATCTATAAATAACCATTTATGCTCAATTAATTAAATTTACTTTCTATTTATAATTTTTATTAATATTTAATTTATTTTTAGTTTCTCTTGTGCCTATGTTCTTGCGCTTCTATTAAATATATAAACGATTCACTGGGGTTGCTTTTCGGATGCATTTTGAACGTTCAGCCATTTTTGGAGGCCGCCAATGCTGAAACATGAATCGCCAGCAAGAATAAGATGATTGGCGCTGGTCAAACTTGTGCCGCAGGCAAAATAATATCGCACAATCATAAATTTAATGTTGTGCCACTTTTCAGAAGGTTTGTAGATTTTAAACCAAGAGATCTTTCACGTTTACTACTCGAAATGTTTTTGTTACCTTGTACAATTACTTACTCTGCTTTTTTCCTCGTTACGTTCAGATTCGGTACAAAAACTTTACGAGTCTTACTCTCGCCCAGGGGGTTTGCGACTATGTCGCGGAACTCGGACAGCTTCAGGTCCCGTGGCGTCCTGAAACTGGGCAGTCGTTTGTAGGCGGCTTGCACCTCAGCCTTGACTGAGACCCGTGGGGCCTGATCTCCAGGCATTGTCCTGAAAATAAAACCAAACACTTGTTTTTCATTTAAACTAAAAACTTAGTTTAATCAATGCCAACTTACAACTTAAAAAAAAAAAAGCTATCTGCCCATAAAAAACATGAACGAAGAAAGTGAATGACAGAAAGTTATAGAGTCCCGTGTACGAGCTTAAATCAACTACATACCAGTCGGACTCGTCTTACCTGCTGTGAGGTTATCAGGTTATACGCAAGGTGCGGCAATCTCGTATTTTAGAAGGTCCATAAAAAAAAGTATTATTTTAAATTATTTTATAATTTTATTTTATTTGTAAATTTGCTAACTTTTATAATAAAAAATGTATGATTATTTTACAATAGCGTTAATCAATTAAACTTGATTAAAAAAAGCTTTATTTAACTTGCATGTTAATATCCCTCGTTTTACTCAAACGCATTTCAGCTTACGCCATTTTAAGTGTGTCTGTGTGATTCTGTCAAGTGGATGACTAGCGATCAATAAAGATCAAATAAAAAAATTAATTGGTGTTTAGCATATTTTTTTATTTTCAATTTTGTGGAATTTATGCACATTTATGGCTTGTTAAGTATATTTACTTTAAACAGACAAAACTATGAAAAATTGTAATAATCATAAATAATGATATTTAAAGACAATAAATAAATACATTAAAAAAATTAAATGAAACTATTTAAAACTTGTTAGTGGCTGTTGGCCTTTTAGTCAGTGAAAACATGTTAAACTGACCAGCACCAAAGACTATTGACTAGGCCTATCTACTCTGTCAAGAGTTTAAGCTTTGCTCAAACAAATTTCAGCTCTACGCCATCTTCAATGTGTCTGAGTGATTCTGACAAGTTATGTACAAATTAGTGATTTGTGATTTTTTTTAAAGAGGCACACAAGGCTCAACACCATTGAGTGAATCCAAATAACTGTAAAATCCTTATCTAGCCATGAATATTTTTTGTTATTATTATTTCTTTTATTGGCATCACATCATCATTACTAGTAAAACAACCCTGTTTCCTCCAAGAATCAGAACAAGAGATTTCTCCCTCTTACAGCACAATTCTCATATTGAGTGACATTTCCTACACACTCTCTATATGGAGCCAAGGAATTGCACCCTTTCTTTAAATGCCGGACATATACACATGCTTTGGCCTGAAAGTAAGTGCCCATGTGTTAACCTCCCAACGCTTGTCCATAATCGGTTGAGGATGACCCTTCTTCTACAAGTCTGATCTTCTAAGGACCACTTATTGTCAGTGTTCTTGATCCAGAACTTAATGTTAAATGCATACATCGGTATATAAATGCAAAACTTTATCTAAATAAAGTATTTCTTTTATTCTTCTTCAATTCATGTGATACAGCTCAATATTCTTAATTAATCAAAGCCAAATAAATACAATTAAATTAATTATTTCAATAAGCTATAATAGTCTGTTAATAACTTGTAGTTAATAATGACATGTAAGGAATTAAAAATAATTAAATATTAGACAATGCTGTTTTTGTTATATTATTATTTGTTACTGTTGTAATTAACCCCATTTACGCAGATAAAACTATGAAATAATGACGATAATGTAAATATTATAATTGATAAATTCATTTTGAATGAATCAAAGACAAAAATAATTTGATTAATGTAAATTTAAAGCATATTTTAATAAATTATGTCTTTTAAGAACTTGTAATTAATAATTGTGTTTATTAATTTAAAATAATTATGTGTAAGACTTAGAAGTATTTATTTTTGTTTAAAACATTGTACATATTTGTAAGTAAATACAAACTAAATTAATGAAAGATTCTTGTAATTTAAAAAAAAATCAGGAGCAAAATGTGTATTTAAATAACGCCTCACACTTAAATCGAACTATAATAAACATATTATTAGTTTAAGTATAAATTATTTATTACATATGTATTATTTATATTTGACATAATTTATGCTTTTTGTGTTATATGTTAAAGTAATCTTATGAGCTTTTGGCTTTTCCATCTTCTGTGTATACTTTTGAGGTTTCAACGAGGTTTCAAACGTCCACAAGGGGTTTAAAAGAGGCAAGGGGCTTCTTTTCGAATTTCCATTTGGAAAATAATTATGACCGAAGAGGACAAAAACCCTTTGGCCAAGGGAGAAAACAAAACGGGGCAAAAATTGGACGAAACCAGGCTGAGGTACGAAGGCGAAAAGTGTTTTTACACAGGTATGGACATATTTTTAGGCTCAAGTAATGTTAAATATTAAGCAGAGGCTTAAGCATATTTCTTCTTAGAGTCGTCTGTATAAATGTCAACTTGATGCTTTACAGATCCCAATACGGGTGCGGAGCTCGAGTGGAAAGCCGACAAACAGGCCTGGGTCTCGAAGGACGGCTCGAAGCCTTCGGACAACGACTACATCTACGAAGATGGCACATACTGTTACACAGACAAGTCCACAGGTAATTTTCAATACCGAATAAAAATTTTCAGTCATACATAGAACATATTGCAGGTGTGAAATACAAATGGAACACTGAGGAAAACAAGTGGGACTTATGTGAAAGCGTTAAGATCAGAGTGGATGAAGAGGAAGAAGAGGAGGAGGATGATGATGGCGAGACGAGGATCAAAAAGAAAACAGTCGTAAGGCAAGATATGTCAAAAGGGATTTATGGATTTGAAGGCGACACTCATATTTATACCGATCCAAATGATGGCACTGTATATTTATGGGACAGGGAAAAAAATGCATGGTTCCCTAAGGTAATTAATGATTCCTTATTTATTACTTATGTATTTATGAAGTTTTTATAAATCAAAACAAAACAAAATATATGCCTTAAGAAAACCTTCTGATCAAATAACTGTCGGAGTAGAGTAGTCAATAATTTTCAACATAATGTTTTTTGTTTTTTTGCACTGTACTTTAAATGTGTGCCGAGTGGTTAAGTAGATCGGCTAGTACATTCCGCAGTTGTGGGTTCGATTCCCACTGTCAACTCTGGATTTTTTTTCTGATGCCTGATGGGACTGGTGGTTGCAATTGAAAAAAATTGACAAGGCACTCATCAATGAAAGGTCTGGGGTGGGATCGGATCTCAGCGACCCTGAATTTGGTCCCGACCCCCTTCAAAAATCAAATTCAAATTTACACGTGTATTGCGAGCTTCCAAAAATAAAGCCAGGAAGGAAGTACAAGTATAGTGCTCAGGGGGAACTCCTCCAGTTCATAGTATCCATAAAATAAAAAAGTGGAGCTCACTTGGCACCTATCCTTTAGGTTAGGCAACTAAGTTGTCTCGTGGCCAACTTCACTTAAGTCTCTGATGAGGATTGGCCAGTAATGTTGAGGATGACAATTTGCAGATTAAGGGGTTGAGGTGATTAGGCAATATTGAATAAAAATTTTTGTAACAAAATTGGGAAATGTCTGATACGAATGGGGTTTTTAATTCGGTATGATTTGTATGGTTAGAGACATAGAAGGGAAAGACTATTTTTTGAAGATTGTAGATTTTTAGATTGTAGGATCCACAGTCTGACTGTTTAGCGGTACAGTTTAAGCTTGAATGTTCCTAGTGGGGCAAGCAGGACAGTGTCTAGCCTTTTTTGTTACTGTAATTTTGATCGCTTGTCAAGTAGTCTTTTTAGCAGTCTGAAATCTAAATTTTTATGTTTGAGTCTCGTAAGTTGATTCCATGTAAGTTGTTGAGGTACAGTCCAATTGTATTTTGATTTAGTTTCATTAACCTTGATTCTCCATTGGCAGGGCCATGAATCGAGTGTAAGTGTAATTAATTTTGTAAATTATGTGAAGCTGTAATGGGGTCTTTATTGGAGATGAGTATTGATGTGTCATCGGCAAAGGTAAAAATGAAAGTGTTAGGTTGAGTGCACATTGAATATAATATTTTTGGCTTGTCAACAATACCGTTCTAACATTAACTATTCAAATTCTTTATCATAGTTGTTCGCTTACAAACCATTTTAATCTAATCTCCCTTAATTACTTTCTGAGGACACATTTTGTTCATATTCAGAGTCATCACAGTAGAAAGACATGTTGTTAAGGTTTATTGCCACAATCTATGAAAGATATGAAGCAAAAAATCAAACTGCTAAAGAAAGAAATCCTCTGACACCAAGTGCATTGGTGGTCATTTTTTTCCTGTGTGTCCTCTCATTACTGACATTTGTAACATTGCTGCTGAGGTGGTGAAATAACAATTCATTATTGTGTCTATCTAAAATGCTAATTTACTTAAATATATAGATTGTTGAAATAGTTCTAAAAATAATAATAATAATAAAAATAATAATAATAACAATAATAGGCATACCACCAGATTTAAGAATGGTTCTTGAATACAGAAGTCAGTTTCTGTGTTCCCTGTTTATTTTATTATTTTTTTTTTTTGAGGATGGGTGATATTGTACTGCATAAAGTTATATTCTATGTGTTTTGTTCAAATGAGTGTATTTATCAGTGTGAGTGGTGAGGGGCTGATGATGAATTAAGAGGGGACCACACTTACCTGACATGCTGTGACTTGACGCTACCCGATGCCTTTATTGTTTTGATAGGGTGTACAATCTGTTCAACATCAAGCATACGCGTACAGTCACACAGCATGTATCACAAATCAGTATCACAGACACAATGCCTCTTTTGTTCTTAATGCATTATTTTGAGCAAAACTATGCAATAAATTGTTAGTCAAATTCGTTCTATCAATAAACATTTTCTGGTGTTTTGATAAATTTTCTGCTTAACCATCATAAGTAAATAATTTTTATAAAAACTCATGAATTTTTTATCTAATTTAATTTGGTTTTCATTAAAATAAGCATGTTGTAATTAATATAACGACAAAATTATATATACATAGTTTGAAATAAACTACAAAAAAATTAGTGTCCGGCTCTGATTCTGCATGACGGAAATGGTGTAATTTTGTGAGCAAAACATTGTAATAAATTGTTAGTTAAATTTTATGAACAAAACCATGTAATAAATCATTAGTTAAATTTTATGAGAAAAACCTTGAAATAAATTGTCAGTTAAATTTTATGAGCAAAACCGTCAATAAATTTAAGTTAAATTTTATGTTCAAAACCATGTAATGAATTGTCAGTTAAATTCATTCTATCAATACTGGTATTCCAATGTTTTGATCAATTTTCTGCCAAAACATTAAAATTAATTTTTTTTATAAAAACTCATACATTTTTGATCTCACTTAATTTGGTTTATAGTAAAATAAGTATGTTGTAATCGTTATAACAACAATAATACATATAGTTTGAAAGAAAAACATGAGTATCAGGTTCTTTTGTCTTAGACTGTACTTGACGCTACTCAAAGAAAATCTGGATAGGGAACTTGGTTGCATTGTGTAGCGTAGAATAGAGTTGCATGGCATCGAACAGATGTGCATGGGCTGTAATACAATCTTATAGAAAATTGGACATTGAATTGGCGTTGAGTGGCTTCGGGTCACATTGGGTAGCATTGCGTTGGGTGTGTTCCCCGCTTTAGCATCACTATCACTACTCCAGCAGTGTGTGCGTTTAGGGTCGATAGCAGAATATTTATAAAAGTACCCTACTGACCTTAATTTTCGAACGATTATTAACACTGGGTTGATGGAGGAATATCCAAAACTCTGCCAACTAATCAGATTGAGTGCAATGTATGAATGCATTTATTTGTGCAACTGATTTATCTAATTTAATTAATATTAGCCTAGATAGTTTGTGTGCGTTTGGGGCTGAAATGACCTATAACTCTCATCAGAGCCTAACCCATTGGTAGGGAAGTGACATTCCCTGGGCATCAGGCTTTAGGCAACTGGCATGAAAGATGAATGCAGAGTATCTTTTGCGTTGAGTCAACCAGTGGGGATGAGGATTGGCACTTGTGTCTGCTAGCCACCCACCTGGGTGAACGAGTTGACTGCATTTGAATGGGTTCCAGCAGTTCCCAATCATTTGCTAGATGGCTACACTCCTTGACACCCCGTTTAACTAGTTGAATCATCTCGGGAGAGATTCGTTAATCTCTTTCTATGTTTTTGCAGAGCTAAATTGCCATGGCTTTTGCCTGAAATACCCACAGTAAATTTTTTAAGAAAAAAAAGTAGATGTAGATGTAGTATTTGGGGTGTAATATACTGCGCCCTTTAAGAGCTATTGTAGCTCCTATTCTCTGCCTAAAGCACATCGGTGAGTCCTATTTCATCAAGAAACTTGATTCATAGGCCCGGTTTCAGTGGTTGAATCTCTTCTATGGTCACATTGTACATCCCAAAACATTTCCTCCTGTGGGCTAATGTAGCTCCGCAGTTTTTTAGTAAATGTGTTGGTGTCTCTTCTGCCTCCTTGCAGAATCTGCATGTGCCATCTTGGATTGTTCCAATTTTCTTTAAGTGTCCATTTAATCTGCAGTGTCCTGTTAGGAATCCTGTTACGATTTGCAGTCTATTTATTCCTGCTTCCTTTGACACATTCTGTGATTTCTTTCCTACCAAAATTGGTTAGAAGATTCTTGGATTGTCTATGTCAAATGAGTGAATTCCATTGTTCCTTCATTTTCTTTTTGTCCTTCTGTCTGAGATATTTGTTAATAGTGTGGATTCCTATGCCACAAAAGAGTTCAGGTCCTATCAGAGGTGTGGCAGCCCCTTTCCTTCCAAGGGTGTCCGCTTTCTCGTTGCCTTCTACTCCCATGTGTCCTGGGACCCAGCAGAGGCTGATTTTATTCTGCATACCTAATATGTTTAGTTTGGTTTTGCAGTTCAGCACCATCCTTGAACTAATGGTACTTGAGCTTAGTGCTTTGATGGCTGCTTGGCTATCTGACATGATAGCTATATTCTTGTTTTTGTACCCTTTACTTAGATTGAATTGGGTACATCTTTCAATTGCATGAATCTCAGCTTGGAAGATACTAATGAGTTTTCCCATGGGTTCTGAGTATTTGGTTCCAGGTCCAAATACTCCTGCCCCCATACATTCTTGTGTTCTAGATCCATCTGTATACTAGAGGATGGTGCCATTTTTAAAGGAGTTATTTCCCTCTCTTTCCCATTCTTTTTTGGTACCCAGGTTTATTCGGAATTTTTGGCTAAATTCAAACATCCTGTTCATGTCGTCTCTTGGAGCCATGAGTCTTGAATGATGGTCTTTAAGAAAAAAGTAATTGTATATCTTAATTTCCTCCCATAAATACTGGCTCCAGTGCCTTGTTTGATTTTTGAAAGCTGTCCTTGTACCAAATAAAGTCTGCATTGACTGGTTATCCTGTGGTACTATGCTTTATTATTTCTTTGTGAAGTCATATGTAGGATGGCGCCAATATTACATCCATTCAAAGTCCACCTCTCACAATATCAAAAATTTATTTTTTAATTTTTTTAATAGATTGATGACGACTTTTTGGCTCATTATCAAATGAGTTATGGAGTTACAAACCCAGAAAAGAAAGACCTAAATGAGGGGGTTCAGGAGGTGAAATCTCAGCTCGCAGGTGAGGACGAAATTAAAAAACCTTTAGAAGAAGCCACAGACCCTAATTTAAAAAGGAAAGCTCAAGAACCGAGTAAGTTACATGGATTATAATAAAAATCTGTACAGTATAATTAATTTTTTGATTGTGATTTTTCCAGCCTGGTTTGAAGTCGATGATGAGAACAACACGAAGGTCTACGTAAGTAACCTGCCGGCTGAGTTCACTGAAACGGAATTTGTCGATTTGATGCAGAAATGCGGGCTCGTTATGAAAGATGTCGACACCGGAAACATGAAAGTCAAACTGTACACAGAACCTGGTACAAACATTTTAAAAGGGGATGCACTCTGCACATACATCAAGGTAAGCCATTATTATTTACTCAACATTTATGCTAAAAAAAGAATTAAGTCGGTAAGTGTAGGTCATTCTACGAATTTTTATTTACAGAGATTTATAAAATTTCTACTCAATCTGCTAAAGATTTCACAGATAAAATTTAATAATATATAATATTAAGGGCAAGGGGGTTCTGTACTAATCTTTGGTCTTTTTTTGTGCATCTGAATCCCTAGCATGTAATAAAAACATCTCAGAACTTAATTTTTAGCTTTTTATTGTTTCAATGGTAAATTTACATTTTAATAATTAACATCCTTTGGTGTTCAAGACATTTTATGTTACACAACAATAAACTATTTACAGTTTTATATTATTTTACATTCTTAGAATCATGTCAAAGCTTATACATAAATGTGTATGCAGTTTTGATTTGAACATGTGCAAGGTTTTGTAACATTTCAAGTCTTTTTTTTTTCTTACTAAACATTAAACAATTGTAACAAAGTTTTCACCAAAAACAATCTTGCAATTTATGTTCTATGGGGAAAAAATATATATAAGCTTTTAAATTGTAACATTTAAGCATTAATATAATTTGAGAATACAATAAGGTGTTTAAAGCTATTTGTCAAAATTTATCAGTTACAAAAATTTAAACAATTAAATAATATTAATTTTAATTTTTCACCCAAACTTTAGGTTTTAATAATAGAGGTGTGTACTTATGTTCTGGTATGTCAAACATTTTTTTCGGATCGAGTCTTTTGTCATAAATCTCATTTGTCCTGGTGTGATAAAGGCTTTTACTTGGTTTAATTTTCTTCCCATTTTTGTTGTAAATTTTTTGTTTATGTTTTATACTCTTCCTTCTTCTCATACCCATGGGCTTCTCGCAAATAAAATGAAATTCATTCACGCAGCTTTTTCTCTCCCACCTTCAAACAAAAACCAAATTATAAAATATTTTAAGTATACATGTAGGTTTATTTACTTGTAATGATCTGCAGGGTCCATTACAGCACAAGTCCACGGTGGGGTTTTCGTTTTACGCCTTGCGAAACCATGGTATGTAAACTCGTTTCCGGTCGGTCCCCATATCCATTTATGGCTTTGCCAATTGTACATTCCACCTATCCACCTGTTCTTTTTAGCTAATAAAATAAATGTTTTATATATACACATACTCATAAAAACAAAATAAAACATTTTAAACCTGGTTTTTCCCTTCTGAAGTATCGTCTTAGAAATTTATCCTTCCAAACCGTATCTGGCATGGCGAGTTTACTGTTTTTCATGTCAGAACATTCAAAAAATGCATTATTCCATGTTGCTTTTTTTGTGCTGAGATAGTAACATGTGTTGCCAGCTCTGAAGAAATCTTTAGGGCAAAAGTATTCTAATACATATTTATTGCTATTCGACAAGTGTTTACCTACAATACAAACCATTTTGTTATTTATAAAAATTATCTGTTTTACAAAAAATAAAAATTAAACATTAATTTTTTAAAAATAAATTGTGTTCAAATTGTTTTGGCTTGTTTAGCAGTTTACAACACTCACTAACAACAAACATTTAAGCACTTGTGTCTTAATCATTGCCATTTTGATTTTGATTTTTTGTAGCAAAGATGCTATCTCTAAATAATTCAGTAATTTAGTAAATTGAAACTGTTAAACAAGCCAAAAATATTAATAAAATTGCCCAAAGAGAAAAAGGAAAAAGAAAATTTAAATATGTTTAATCAATTTTTTTTCATATGTTTCAATAGTGTACCAATAGCGATAGTGTGTGGTGTTTAGTGACTGTTAGTTAATGATTATTTAGAAATTGTGAGATGCGGTCTGGTGTGATGTGGATTTATAAAAACATTTTCTTCATCGTGCCAACATTTCAATCTTTATTGAGATCATCTTCAGGGCCTGGGATTTATAAACATTATTTAAATTATACAAATACATGTAAGATGTAAAAATGAATTTATACAATGATGTACACAATATTGAAATTTTAGGTTTAATTAAAAAATCATCTTAAAAAAAATCAATCAGAAAAATGGATTTCCACCCCTGCTTTCTTCCCCACTTCTTCAAAACCCAATATATATAAACAAATAACATTAATATCTCACTAATTCTCACAACACAACACACAATGACACCTACACAGAAAACACACACTTTCAGTGAGTACAAATACTTTGATTAAACCTAAAATTTCAATATTGTGTACATCATTGTATAAATTCATTTCTACAGCTTATATGTATTTGTATAATTTAAACAATGTTTATAAATTCCAGGCCCTGAAGATGATCTCAATAAAGAAAGAAACGTTGGCAGGATAAAGAAAATGTTTTTCTAAACCCACATCACAACAGACCACATCTCACGATTTCTAAATAATAGGGATAATTCAAATTTGATTTGTTGTTGATATAAAAATGATCTTTGTGATCTGTGGGGTCATGAACCTGTAATTTGTTACCGAATTTAGGAAAATTACATATGACAGAAGTGAGAGAAAAAGATAGAGAGAAAGAGAGAGTAAGACATAGATAGATAGAAAGAGAGAGTGAGTGAGAGAGATGGAGGCAAGAGAGAAAGAAAGAGAGAGAGATGGGGCAAGAGAGAGAGAGAAAGAGAGAGTGAGTGATGGGGCGAGAGAGTGAGAGGAGAGAGAGAGAGAGAGAGAGGGAGAGAGAGAGAGAGAGAGAGAGAGAGAGAGAGAGAGAGAGAGAGAGAGAGAGAGAGTGAGAGAGAGAGATGTTATTTTTGCTGTTTTGGTCTGTGTGATTATTCCTGCTTATAACCTGTACATCCCAAGACTGAAGATAGCTAGAAGCAAAAAAAAAAACCAAAATAGCGAGAATAGCTTGAAAGTAGAGTTAGGCCAAACTACAAGTTTTCAATTCTTTCAAAATATTGGAATTTTTTGTCCAAACTAAATCCATTCTTACCATTAAAACACTTCATAAGACCAAATAAACTATTTCTTACAACCAATGGATATTCAGTCTGTGTGCACATGTTTGTTTAAAATTTCATATCCTATCATTTGACATACATTTGTTTAAAAGTTATACCAACTTTAAATTTGTGTATGCACCCAGGTACGTACTTTTTGAAAGCCAGTTAAAATAAATAAACAAATTTTCTAAGTACAAAAACTTTAAATGGCTGTTGTCAATTCGTGTTGGGTAGTGTGATCATGATCGTCTTTGATCATACTGTACCGCGTTGGACAAAAATAACGGAGAATGGGCAGACCAGGTTGATCAGGGGTGATCAGGGGCGATTATTGCCGTGTCTAAATCGACCCTCTCAACGAAAATACAAGCAATTTGAAATAAACGCGAGCTATTAAGTTGTAAAACTATATTCGCCCAGGTCGTCTTTCTTGCAAAAGCGGATAGGGCGGCGGATGATCCGTTATCCTCTCAAGCGTGGGCGTGAATCTACAGTTCCCAGTCCCCTTAACTATCCGAGGTTCAACAGTAAAGCTGCGGTTAAAAATAAACAGACGAGATTACGAAATTGGGGTGTGTGTTAGGCACGTAATCATATTGCTATTTTGTCTACCTCTTCGACCAAGATATCCATTCAAATCGATCTGGGCCAGGGTCAGGTTCAATGTACAATACCATGCTTTTTCACTCTCATTCTTTCTGCTTGTTATTTTTGTGAGTCTAGATTTATTTTAATATGATGTCATCAACACCAGGCTTAATGTCAAGGTTCCTCATTTTGAAAAAAAATATTACTACATATTTTTATTTTGAGGTAATGCTAAGTTTTGTGGGTTCGAACTGTGCGAGGCAAATCTATTCACGGTTCCTTTCTTAATATATAATAAATTGCCAAATTAATCATTAACTTCGAAACTAGAAAACTTAGAATTTATATTAGTACGACCATAGATGAAACCACTTTGCAAACTGCTAAACTCCTCAAGAGATGCCATTTCGGATTTGGGCAAATGGATCGTAAAAGCTGATTATTTCCTTTGGGTTTATCACGATTTTCAAAATCTTTTCATCTTTCATTTCGGCTTAAATGGTGGTCAGACGTTATCTACGTGCCCAAGGTTGGAGCTATTTGTAATCCGTTCTGCAGATTCAAAAACACCAGCCACTAGGCGTTCACGGTTCAAGATAAATTGGGTTGTTCTACGCCACTACGAAATAATTGACAAAAAGAAAAGTCAATTTAAGTAGTTTTCGATTGGCCACTTGAGATTTCACGCGTGGTCATCATAAAATTTGAGATTAAATTGATGTCTGCTTTTCCCAATTTGCTAGGACAATTGTACATTTTTTGCCGTTTTCTCTATTACTTTATAACTTTGAACCCTTCTACATAAAGAATGTCAAATCTTTCAAGTATTTCTAGGTTGGTACTTTCTTTCTTTTCAATCCTCGTGTTTCTAATTCTGCCTATTATAGACTTTCTCCCTATTGTTCTGAAGTGCAACAGTTCTAAATCGTATAATTTAGCGTTTCTTATGAACAACTTGACAATAGCATTGTTACGTGGCGTTCACTAGGTAGCACGACATTAGGGATATAAGCAGGGAGAGGCGTGACGCGGTCTCCCTCCGTTCAAAAAAAGTTTTTCAGTATTATTCACGAACGTGTAAAACACAGGGCCGATTTTTGCCAAATTGAAAAGGCCAGTATTTTAGAAGGTAATTGAAGTAGTGCGACATCAAAGATCTCAGGGATATAAGCAGGGACAGGCAAGCCGCTAACTCCTTCCATTTCTAAAAATTGAGTGTATAAAAATTTAACTATGATTTCAATTTATTGACGCGGGGGAGGGTCTTGTTGCAGAAGGTTGAATGTATGGGTTATAAGGCAGGGCAAGGCATGGCTGCTACGATTTCTTTTAATCCACGCTCCGATTTAGGAAATCATTTGTCTCATTTTTGGCTGGTCTTTTCATACGCCAAATTTTCCAAGATGTCGATAAAAGACAGAATTTGAAAACCCGGTTTTGGAAATCTCTTGTCTGATTTTTACT